GTATACTCTTGGAAGTCAAGCTTCCTCTGTGCAAGGTGCCGTGTGCCCCGTCACACTCGTACTGGTTCTTGTAAAGAACGTAGGGTCGGTGACCTTAGCTTAGCTTCCTCTAAGCAAAGAGCCATGGCAGCCCCGCTGCACGCGATGGCCGATTGGTGGTGAGAACAACAAAGACAAGTCTGACGACGCCCCACTATCCATAGATGGACAAAATTCTGGTCGTGTCTTCTGGTCACTGCTTGGCGTTTTTCAGGCATAGCGACATGTACACGGAGGACACCAAAGTTACGATTGAGTGACTGGAAGAAGGCCAAAAGAGATGCAAGATTTCTAAAGAAGACCTTGCACTTGGAACTTTTTGTGAATGTAATGTCAAATTCAAGCCAAAATGCCATACGTCGAAGTGACTACGCAGAGAACAAGGTTAACTAAGAATTGGTGACGGAGTGCGTCATTTCGGACGGATCCATCGTGTCATGTATATGCAAAAAACAAGGTGGCGGAGCTCTTACAAGATCCTCGATTTTATTTACATCGCCGCCTACCAAGAAAACGCCATTAATTGTCATTACGAGATGGAAGGACGGTCACGTGTCAAATTTGAATACATGAAATAGATTTTTCAATTCACTAACCTGCAGCATTTCATTTCTCTTGACTTTTAGTAGTGATTTATGTGTAAAGTCTGCTACGCAGCAAGATCATTGAGGTACAATTAATTTATGAATAAAGCAAAAAGGAATACAAACATTCACTTCACCGCCTTCTTACAAATATTGTGGGGGAGTCGTTTCCTCCTCCTGTCGCTTAGACATTTTTCTGATAGCCTCCCCACGCTCGATTTCCTCCACCACCTCACTCACTTGAGGTTTTCCTTCGCTCTGCCGAAAATTCTGCAGGGTTTCGTCCACCGTGTAGTCGATCCCAAGGGCTTCGTAAACGCTACGCTCGCAATCCTTGATCCATTTGACCAGCTTCTCGTCTTCAGCTCGACCAAACGGCGTTTTAAGCCACTCAGTTTCAAATTGTTTCAAGCTGCCGCTCGTGCAGAGGGCCTCATGACTGCCCTCGTCTTGTACATTTGAGCGCTGCCACACCATCTTCAGTTTCTTACCATCAATTTCGCGCTCATGCGTGGCCTTGAAGCAACCTGTCGAGTCCTCGTAGCGTCGACGAGTCGTGCCAACACGGTGTCCACTATCATCTACTATGGAAGAGCAAGTGACGGTGTATGAAATATAGGATGGATAAGACTTCGAGCCTTCTACATCAGTCAAGGGGTCCTTTCTGTCAAGAACAGCTTCAGATTCCTCCTCTTCTGGCGGGCTATTTGCACTATACTTAGGCGCCGCAGCTTTCAACGTGTCTTTTGTCACTTCGTTGGTTTTTATAAGTGGCAGATCCGTTATAAATTCATTATCGTCATGATGTAGATTCAGCAGCATGTCTTGCGTGAGAGGCACATCCAGCGGAGAGCGAGGTGAAATAACACGGCGTGTCATCACCTCCATTTCCATTAAAGATTGTTCCAGCGACGTCAATGGATGCCAGAGCGATGGCTGCACTCGATCCCAAATATGAGTGGTTCGACGAATCTGCACTCCGTGTGGACTGTGTTGCGTAAGCGGAATCAATCGCAAGAACGAACGGGCTTGCAACATGGACTATCAATTGCTTCACTGGTGTTTCAAAGGGTGTAACGATGTGCAAAAGAAAATGCGCTGCACTTAAGTGTATGACTCGATATGCCAGTTGAATTTGTAGATGAGAACTAGGGACAAGGGGACATATTCTTGTTCTATACTAATGTCAAATAAGACAGATTCAACGAATCGACAGCCACCCTCGGATGCCGTAATTCAAGTGGGACAGAGTTGTCAGCTGCGCAACCTTTCTCTAAGACTCTCGATTCTTTCTTTGCTATCTCATTTACCATCTGAGAAACAACGGTTAAGCCATCAAATTGTTGCCACAACTCCGGCAAAAGCGTGCCTCTGCTGGATTTTGTGTCGAGCATAAGCTACAAAGGCCCGGCTTGCGTTTCAGCTTACTCGTGGAAGCACTTGTCTCCGTTTTTTTGGTTGGCTTAGTCTCTTCAAATGGACGTTCAATCAAGTAGGAGCCAGGGACATAGCCACGTTTGTTTTGCAATTCTACGAGCCACCAGCCGTCTTCGTCCTGCGTAAATAAAAGAGTTGTCAAGTAACTAAAAGCATCACGAATATGTCGCAGGAACAAACCTTTTGAAGAATAGAGACTTCGTCACCCGGATAAATAGTCAGTTGAGTGTTATCCTGGGCGTCAAACCGATACCCGGCCAAGCCTTTGGACACTGGAGTCATATGATTACTATCAACAGTGAACCATTTGATGAGTAAAACCAGCATCCGTGAAGCTAAAGCATTTCTTACGAGAGATAAGGTTCATCTTGCGCAATTGCTTCATGTTTACACATGGCGCACACAGCCTGGCTTTCGTGCTCAAAAAAACTCTCTGCTGGACAAAAGTTTGCACAATATCAGGACACTTGATTCAATTGACAGCACATATGCATACTATCGGCGTGTGGGGTACCTGATAGGGAAGCACTGCATTGATAGCACACAAAGCAGTCTGGATGATAGAGTTGGTCAAGGGCCTTCACTACTTTCCCTTTGAGTACCTTGTCGCATCGGCTGCACTTTTTGCCGAATCGGGCCTGGTAGCACCCCTGATGAAAGGCCTGATAATTTAGCGACATAAAGGTTAGCTTGCGCGATAAATTAAAAAAATCAAGCATTACCTGATTACTTTTTTCTGCATATCCATCATCTTCGGCGATCACTCGGCTACAATGACTGCATGTAAAGCACTGCACCGAATCAATCAAATATTTTTTTTTGAGATCACGGCGTCAAATTTCAGTTTCAAAATTTTAGAGCACATACCTCATAATGAAAATACTGATTCAAGGCACCGACTGCTTCTCCCTCCAAAATGAGACCGCAACCACCACACAGCTCGCGATCATCCTCGTCTTCTGAGAGTGTCTGTTCATTCCTATCAACAATTCTTTCAGCTGTCGATTGCTGTGCTCTGTTAATCTCTCCGGTTCCTTCTGATATGCCACTAAGATCAGACAAACGATCGTCGCTGTATGACTCGAGGTCTAGCACCTCCGACAATCGCAGCGATTCCCGTTGGCCTGAACCCATGTATCCTGCGTAGTCGCCGTCGCTGAGAATAGACTCGAGATCCGATACTTCGGAGATCCGTCCATTTTGTCCAGAAATATCGATGGGGGTGGCCCCGAGGTCGAACTCGTCTAGGTTTGACGAACTAGATCGAAGGCTATCGCTTCCAGATCGCATTGCAAAAGCAGTGGCGGAAGATTCTATCACTGCCTGTGCTGCCTCCTTGGCTATTCTTTGAGCCTCACGCACATGTCGATTCTTTTCTTCTTCCGCAAAAGCTGCTTTCTTATCTGCAATCGCCTTGGCAGCAGCGCGTTCACGTTCGAGTGCGGCTTCCCTCTCCTCTCGATCTTTTCTCTCCTTCTCAGCTGAGCATTCGCCACAAAACAGAGAGCCGTTTTCCAGCTTGGCCCCGGCTTCCTTCGACTGCTTTTTACATGTAGAACAAATCATGCAAAGCTTGTGGAAAGTGCCTTCTCCTGCACGGTACACTCTACCCAGAATGTCCTTGTCACACACGATGCAATAATTGACCTCCTTAGCACAATCAGCATGGTATGCCTTTGTCTTGATAAGTGTAAAATCCTCAGCTTCCTCAATTGACTCACGGCATCCTTTACACAATAAGCATATTTCGTGAAAAATTTGGTCTCTGCATACTTTAGTGCGACCCAATATAGTCTCTTTGCAAGCATAGCACTTTTTAAGCTTTCGAACTTCACCGGGCTTAAATTCAGTGCCACCGGACTTGGCATCTGCACCACGTGCTGATCTATCGGCTCCATCTGGTGCACACGAGCCTGCAATGGTAAGCGCTGATAGTCCAAGTGGTGAATGGTATTCTACATCAGCATTTGCTCCCTGCTCGCTGCTTCTCGAACTTTGCTGCAATTTCATGAATCGCTGGTTGGAAGCCTCGCGCGCAGCCAAAATCGCAGCATCTGTGATAGGAATTATAGGGTTTTCTATGTGTAGATATGAGCCGGGCACGAGGCCTTTCTCGCCATCCTTGATAACAAACCACCACCCATCGTTGTCCTTGCGGACAACATCAACCTCATCACCCTTAGCCAGCTTGAGCTGAGTACTTGAGTCTTGCGGCACAAAGTTAAAGCGCGCCACTGCCTGTTCTTTGCGAGTTGGTTCCGCCGCCAATGGCTGCACTCTACATGGTACAAAACACAAAGCATACCAATCGCGACACATCAGTCTCAATAAATAATACTATCTTATCTCGTCTTATGCGCACCCCATCACGTTGATACGTGCAGCCGCTGTAAAGGCCGTCGGCAAGGCGGGAACGCACATTGGATCACCTCCGACCGCTTTCCAAGGGTTCTCTTTAGCCGTAACCTACAACAGCCACATAAAGACCTTTATCGTCCATCCCGCTTACAGATTCCAGAGCGAACGCCACGCACTGCCTTCTCGCCGCACTTTCCACATGCATTCACCTCCAAAAAGTCCCCACATCTACTCGAAAAGTCAAGGCGAGTTAAAGTTCAAGCGCAGTGGACGAGAGAGCAATTAAACAGGCTATAGACCTGGGGCAGAAGCTCGGCATGCTCGCTCGCTTTCTCCGCCTGCCGCCGAGTGCGCTACTGAATGCTGCGCAGGTCTTCCTTGCCCAATTTACAACGCCGCGCTCCGTCAATCGTCGACTGCAATTTGCTCAAAGGTTAGGGGGTGTAAAAAAGCGGGCGACATCTTTGCAATCGCGCACGTTGTTTTTTGCAATTGGTTGAAATGATGGTGTGTAATGCTGGCTTGACAATAAACCATAATTGGTCAAAACTGGTATCATATTTTTCTAAATTATTGCTTCAATGGCCATCGTTTGATTGGATCAACATGAAGCTTTCAAGTGCGCTGTGGGACGGCGTGTTGACGCCTGAAGCGCTGCTGCCTGTCGTCGGGCTGGAAATTTGCATTCGGTGCTGCTTGCGCTTTGCTGGTATCGATAAATTAGAAGTTTATGCGTTAGTGTTATCAACAATGATTTCAGCTACCGAGAGTTTATATAAGCTAGGTGTTTGTTTCTTTCGTTATGTTGCAGCTGCTCTGAGGAAGATCTGACCGATGCAATAAACACATTTATTCAAGAAAGGGGTGCACTAAACGCTGTACCGCAGAATGCTGCATGTAGAAATTACTCAACACCAATTTGACGAAAGCAGCTAAAATTTTGCTCACCACTTAATATGCGTTTGCTACCACTAGGCTGCTCATGCTGTGTAGGCGTTTTAAACGATGCTTTTTTCGGGGGTATCTTGGCCAATGTGCAGCGGATGTCAGAAAATTCCGGTTATGATGTCAAGACTTTTTCAATCAGCATCAAGTTGCCTAGCGTCGTCCTACTACGCGAGTACTCGCTGCTACAATTTCTGCGTTTCAATTTCGACCAAATTCCACGTAAGATACCTCTCGATATCAAGGATGTCTTGAAGGTGAGAGTACGCTATACTAATGGATGCTTTCAGCTATATAGTCACCCTCTGTGCTCTTGATTAAAATAGTCTGCTATGGCGCCTTCTATATCGCGGATGCTTAATAATGCCGTGTGCATAAATAAAAGTGAATTTGTTGTGCTAGTCGACATCAAACATGGCGAATCTGCCGATGAAGTACTTCAGATTCCTGCTATCAAGGTATTGTAGCAATGTAGCTTAGTCTTCATTGTTTGCTCATGATGTAGTTGCGCCTTCAAAGACTCAGTTAAAAGGAAATCGAAAGCGCGGTCGTGGACCACCCACGGTGTTTGATGGCTTTGGAGCAGTCTCTCGTGCTTTAGCCGCCCTAGCAATCATGCCCAAGAGCATCATAAGTCCACCTAAGCAACTCATCACTAAACCGGAGGCTGTGGTCAAACTCGAGCGCGGTTCCGTATGCATGCAAGGACGATATGTCAAGTTTCAACGCGGATTAAGCCAGACACCTTGGGTAATAGACGGAGAGCGCATGGGTAGCTCCTCCGTGGAAGAGTGTATAGGAAATATTGCTCTGGCATACTTCCAGGGAGTAAGCTACAAATTTCATACTGCCGGCCGTGAAGATGTGGATGTGCGCATGCTTGGAAGGGGAAGACCATTTATTCTAGAGATTCTGGGTGCGTAGCCGCTCTGCTTTATCAATAAACTTTATTGTGATCAGGCAAACTCTTTTTTTGTAGATGCTAAAAGAGCCTATCTGAATCACGCCGAGTACGAACAGATTCAAAATGCTGTGAACGATGCAAACGATGGCGCTGTCAAAATAATAGATGTCAAGGGCTGCACTAAAGACTGTTTTGTAAAGCTTCAGGC